CCGTCTATGGGGAAATTTTGTCCTTCCCATGATATATATATGTATTCTTTTCGTCCTTCAAATATTCCAAACATTTGGTTTTTTGGGATAGCCTTTGATACCAAGGTCTCTCATATTTATTTTCGAGAAAAGTGAGTGTTAATATAAAAATTGCCATCAAAATAGAAATTTAAAATTCCATGTAGGTTCAAATATCACCAAAAAAAATAAAACTCCATAATATGATCATTTGACCCAATAAAATTAAAAGGGTAAATTATCTTTTACTCCCTTATGGTTTGGTACTGTACCATATAACTCCCTTATGATTTAAAAACGTATATATATAACCCTCTCATGATTTAGATTAAAGTGTCACTATTAATTTTTCTGTTAAAATTAATGGTCAATAGTAAAAAATTAAAGTCAAATTAATAAATTGATAAATTCATTCTTTCAGTACTTTTTTTTTCGCCTTTTTTCATTCTCTCTCTCTCTCTCTCTCTCTCTTGGGAGGAGAAGAGATGACTTTGAAAATCCGTACTATAGCCTACACAATCTTAATTTTCTCTAAACACCAAAGAGATGAAAGGAAATTAAAAAATAAATAAACAAAAAAGATGGAAGGGAAATGTAAAACAAATAAATAATAAGAATAAAATATCAAATATTTTTTGATTATAAATATCATTATAAATTTTTAAACCAAATCTTTAATGGTATTTTCTATTTTTATTTATCTATATTTATTTCAATTTCTTCTTTTTATGTTTGGAGGGGAAAATAGAAGTAATAAAAGGGTAAATTTATCAATTTATTACTATTGACAGTTAGTTTTAATAGAAAAACTAGTTGTGACATATTAATGCAAACTATAAGGGGCTTATACATAGGTCTTTAAACCATAGAGGGGTTATGTGATAAACACCAAACCATAGGGGAAATTTATCCAAATTCAAACTATGTTATAATTGTGGAGAATAATCTTTACTTCTTTAGCTAGTTCGCTCAAAGATGAATCATCTTTGACTATGGGAGATAAAAAAAATATGGGAGATCAAAATGAATTAGATTAAAACGATATTTGGAGAATCTAAAAGACCTTATTGTTAGGTTCATGAGTAAAAGATTATGTCCCATATTAGTTTGAGAGATAGAAATAGAGCGGTTAATATGTAAGTAAGGGTCCGAGACCTAATAGTTTAAATTTTTTTGTTAGACTTGAGTTCCTGACTTATATATTGGGTTCTTTGGTGGGCTTTCTCGAGGTATTTCCCCCTATCAAATTGGTATGAGAGTTTCAGGTTGCGAGACTGGACTGCTCATGGACAAGCGGATTCTTTTAAGAGTAGGACCGGTGAAAATTCTTTTCTTGATGGTGTACTGAAGTACCAAAGTGCTAAGAAATTTGGCTAGTGGACCAGATATGCCATAGGTTTGGCAGGGGGTCCGGTTGGTGTTAGATCAAGGAGTCAAAGGTTGGCAGGAGTCCAGAATGCAGTTTGAATGTTAAAGAAAAGTGACTCCATATTTGGGAGAAGAGGTGACCTTAGGTAATAAGATAGGTTTGCGTTAAGTATTAAAGTGGGATTGAATAAAGGCTTGTAAATTTGGATTTAATGTGAAAGGTTACTCATGAAAGGGGAGATTTGATAGATTCATGAGTAAATGATCATATCCCATATTGGTTTGAACGATAAAGATAGAGCGGTTAATATGTAGGTAAGAGTTTGAAACCTAATAGTTTAAACTTTTGGCTCAGAGTTAGGTTCTTGACTTACATATTGGACTTTTTGATGGACTCTCGAAGTGTTTGTCCCCATAAAATGCTTGTCAGTATCCAAGCGCGGAACACACAATTATTGAGATATCAAGTATACAACAATTTAATGACAAACAAGCCACAAGTATGAAAGATAAATGACACACAATATTTAACGTGGTTCGACTCCATTATTGAACCTACGCCCACGGAGAGAAAACTCATTCTTTATTATGAGAGGAAAATCTTATACAAGAATACAACTTGAACCCAAATTCAACTCTTGTATATCATCTCTCATCTTCTAAGAACTCTCTCCCCCTATGTATAAGGCTACATGACACCCTTGTGTGTGTCTTCTGTGTCTCTTGTATGTTCCTTGTGTAGTATGCCAGTTCACCTATTTATAAGAAATATTATTTGGCCAAAACCCAAATAACAATAGGAAATAAGTGTTAATTCCTAAACTTATACAGAATAGGAAATAACTTCTAAATCTTAAACAAAATAGGAAATTTTTTGTTTATTATTTCAAGTACCTAAAACCAATTAGGAAATTAGTTACTTACACACAAAACAAAAAATCTATCTAAAATAAATTAAACTAATTTCCTAACAAATCTCTACCTTGGCGAAAATTTCTTTTAACAACCGTTTGTTTTCAAATACCAAATAATATGCTACCGAACTACACAGCCGAATCAATATAGTTCTGATATTTAATTGATTCAATCGGTAAATGAACAAGTGTAGTTACCCCGAATTCAATCTCCAATTGACTCATGAGAAGGTGTCTCAATTCACCATCTTCCTTTGCAGGATTTCTTTTCATCACCACTTGCAAATTGAGATCCCCTTCTATGAACTCTATTTCTGACTATTGAGGCAACCAAGTGGCAAAATCCTTATACTTCTTCCCATCCTCAGGACTATCTCGCCACTTGTGGTTTTCAAAATTCCACCTAAATCGAAAAACTCATAACTATCAGAGTCTTTTGGTGCATGAAAATTAGATCTCTTTATTTCTTTAGAACACATGCCACACTACCTCAGGAGTATAATTCGAATCTAATAACCATTCAAGATGAAGTATCAACTGAGGGAGTTGTGAGAAAGTCTCTATCGATTCACATCCAAAATCAACATTGAATTCCACCTTTTTCTTAACCCTTGAATCAGCTGTTTAGAGTCACCGTCAAATATCTCCATGCTTTTCGATTTTCCATCCTTCACCTTCAATACTTCTTACCAAGCTCTTGAAATAAAGATACCACCCATTAAATTGTTCAATTGGTAATAGCCACCAACCTACTTGATCTCAATAGTTAATTAGGATCCAACCTTGAACAACCAAACTCTTGATCCAACCATTTAGTTTGTTAGGATCCAAGTGCTTGTGAACAGTCCAGTTTCGCAACCAATCTCTGATACCACTTGTTAGAATTCAAACACGGAATACACAACTATTGAAATATCAAGTACACAACAATTTAATGACAAACAAGTTGCAAGTATGAAAAATAAATGACACACAATATTTAACGTGGTTCGGCTCCACCATCGAACCTACGCCCATGGAGAGAAAACCCGTTTTTTATTATGAGAGAAATCCCTATATAAGAATACAACTTGAAACCGAACCCAACCTTTGTATACCATCTCTTATCTCCCAAGAATTCTCTCACATTCCATGTATAAGGTTACATGACGCCCTTGTGTGTGCCTTGTGTGTCCCTTGTGTAATATGCCAACTCACCTATTTATACGGACCATTATTTCGCCAAAACCCAAATAACAATAGGAAACTAGTGCTAATTCCTAAACTTATACAGAATAGGAAATAACTTCTAAATCTTAAACAAAATAGGAAATTTCTTGGCTGCTATTTTAAGTAACTAAAACTAATTAAAAAACTAGTTACTTACACACAAAACAAGAAACTTACCTAAAAGAAATTAAACCAATTTCCTAACACTTATCTCATCAAGGAAACAATGCACCCACTTTGATATCCAATCCCCTTCAGAGTCCTCAAAATCCAAAGCCATATTAATTGAAACAGGTCAAGTCCTTGTTACAGAAATTGAGCGGTGAAAGAGAAAATTATTTTAACTATACTAGCTTAATTTGAATTACAGTAGTTTCCCTCCCTAATGTTCATTGCAAATAAGAACATCTTCTTCAGTTCTTTTGAATATCTACACAAGTTGATGAAGGAATAAGAAAATTTGTTTCAATTCTAGGGCCCTTTTATTTTCTAATCAAGGTGCAGGACACAAGATGATTTCTGTATCCTTTTCTTATTAAAAAAAAAAATCAAAGGCATGGATTTTTTTCTAGAATGTTAAATGTACTTTATGGGATAAGCGACAGTTTTAGAGATTTTATGCTTTTTTTCTTTTTTTTTCGGTTTATACAATATTACAAAGGGCACAAAGAGGACAAATGCTTAATCTTTTTTCCGTTGGAGGAAACCACTTGAAAGTGGCAGCACCAATTAAGTGACAAGTTTGTGGTAGGAGGCAAAGGTTCTAAAAGTTCTAGTGGTGGCCAAGAACCCAAGAGGCTGTTGGCTTAACAAATGCTTAATCACATTAAGCACATTGTGAAACAATTGGGTAGAGGCCCCTTCCCACTAAAACTTGTAGTCACTGATTAACAAAAAATCATAGAATAAGATATCTTCTACCAGTTCTTCTCAATCTCTTCTTGTAGTATTGGATTTTAGTTTTTATGCGTAGTACCTGTGGAACCTATGGCTATGATTCGTGGATATTAAGACACAAAGTGGTCCAGGGGAGATTGGGACACTGATGCAGAGGTCAGTGGAGGCCTGCAATCTGCGATCTAGAAGCTACAGAATTGGCGGAGAGGTAACTTCGAAGACCGACAGATGAAAGGAATTGTTATTATGTGAGTAACCGAGAGAATACAAGAAAGGAGAAATGTAAAGCTATTACAGAATGAATATCAAAAAGGCTGCCTTATTTCATAGCCTAGATTCCTATTTATAGCCATCTAAGTCGGCTGTCAGGCTAATGCTTAACCTGCTGACCTAGGCTGACATCACTAGATTCCCACTAACAAATTGGCTAACAAATCCCAGCTGTATGGCCATAACTAACGTGTGCATGGCCTGCATGGCCATAACTAACTTTAGCTAACAAACTTCAGCTGCATTTCCTTTGGTATATCCCGCGCAAATTATGGAATAACCAAACACATGCATCAATACCCTCCCCTCGCCGAGTCCTTGTCCTCAAGGACTGAAGTTGGGAAATTGCAGCTTTAAGTCCTGCAGGTATTCCCACGTAGCATCCTCTGGGAAGCTGTTACTCCACTGGACTAATACCTGAGTTGCTGCCACCCTACCACGCTTGACCAAACGCCTGTCTAATATGGCAATGGGTTCCAACAATAGCTGACCCTGGCGTGAGACTCCAGCTGGAATGTGAGTATGAGTGACCCCTGTGCCCATTTTTTTCTTGAGCACCGAAACATGGAAGGTGTTGTGAATGTGAACATGCGAAGGAAGTGCCAACTTGTAAGCCACTGCACCCATCCTTGCCAGTACTTGAAATGGGCCAAAGTAGTGTGGAGATAATTTTTGACAGTGATGAGTCCTTAACAAATGTTGCCGATATGGTTGAAGCTTGACATAGACCCAGTCACCAACGCTGAACTCCCTTTCTGATCTATGTTTATCTGCCAACTGCTTCATCCTGTGCTGCGCCTTAGTCAAATTATGTCGCAGGGAGTGGATGACTTTCTCCCTTGCATGTAAGCTTCTATCCACAGTTCGACCGTTGTAGCTTCCGGTAAGTAAGGAATATGAATAGGGGGAGGCTGTCCATAGACTATTTCATAGGGAGTAAATTTAGCAGAAGAGTGGTGATTCGTGTTATACCAATATTCTGCTAATGGTAGCCACAAACTCCACTCCTTAGGGTGATCACTAGCCATACACCTCAGGTAATTCTCTAGACACCTGTTAACCACCTCCGTTTGTCCATCACTCTGAGGATGGTAAGCAGCGGACATATTCAACTGAACATGCTGTAACCTGAATAGCTCCTGCCAAAATGAACTCAAGAAAGTAGGATCCCTATCACTGACGATTGTTTGAGGTAACCCATGGAGCCTGTAAATTTGATCCATGAACAACTGAGCGATGGAGATGGCTATGTAGGGGTGAGCCACTGCTATAAAGTGGGCGTACTTGCTGAGGTGATCAACCACCACTAAGATCACTTTCTTGCCATGAGAGGGTGGTAATCCTTCAATAAAATCCATGGAGATGTCTGTCCAGATCCTGTGGGATATAGGCAAAGGTTGTAGGAGTCCAGGGTAGGGTGCATTATCTGATTTATGCCTTTGGCAAATGTCACAGGAGGCTACGTACTGAGCCACATCTCTAAACATGTGCTGCCAATATACAACCTGTTTGAGCCTTCTGTAGGTCACATCCACTCCTGAGTGTCCCCCTTGTGAGCTAGAATGCCACAGGGAAATCAACCTGTCCCTCAAGGGTTGATCCTTGCCAACCACCAACTTACCTCTTCGTTTTAATACCCCTTGTTGCCAAGAGTAAGTGTTGGAGTACTGGTTATTGCGTGTCAATTTTTGGATTAACTCCTGGATGTGTATGTCCTGCTACCAACTTTGCTGAATATCCCTGAGTAATGAAGATGTGACTGTGACTAGAGTGTAGTTTGAACCCCCCTCCAGTGGCCGTCGGGACAAGGCATCTGCTACAATATTATCACATCCCTTTTTGTATTGCACCTCATAGTCAAACCTCATTAACTTGGCTATCCACTTCTGTTGTAAAGGTGTGTGTACCCTCTGCTCAATTATATACTTCAGGCTCTGATGATTAGTTTTAATAGTAAAATGCCTTCCCACCAGATAAGCTCTCCACCTCAACACTGCAGTCACTATAGCCAACATTTCCCTTACGTATACAGACAGAGCTTGATGTTTAGGACCCAATGCCTTGCTGAAAAAGGCTAGAGGTCGCTTATGCTGCATCAGTACTGCCCCAATTCCATTCCCAGATGCATCAGTTTCTACAACGAACTCCTGAGTAAAATCTGGTAAAGCCAAAACAGGTGGACTGCTCATGGCTTCCTGTAAGTTCTTGAAGGCCTGAGTAGTTGCATCATGCCATTGGAACTGGTTTTTCTTAAGTAATTCTGTCAATGGTTTGGTAATTTTCCCATAGTCCTGTATGAACCTCCTGTAGTAGCCAGTGAGCCCCAAAAACCCCCTTAGCTCCTTGACTGTCTGAGGAAGAGGCCAACTCACGATTGCCGAAATCTTCTGAGGGTCTGCTTGAACTCCCTCAATATTGATGACATGGCCTAGATAATCAATCTGTTGTTGTGCAAAGGTACATTTGCTTCTTTTTGCCTTCAAGGTATGCTGCCTTAATAATTCGAACACCATCCTAAGATGTTGTAGATGTTCCTCCCAACCACAGCTGTATATCAAAATATCATCGAAGAAAACCAGAATAAATTTCCTTAAGAATGGCCTGAAAATGTCATTCATCAAACTTTGAAAAGTTGAAGGCGCATTAGTCAGCCCAAAGGACATAACCAAAAATTCATAGTGGCCGTCATGAGTCCTGAAAGCTGTCTTTTCCACATCCTCTGCCTTCATTCTGACCTGGTGATACCCAGATCTCAGATCCAGTTTGGTGAAGAACCTTGCTCCAAATAGCTCATCCAGTAGTTCCTCTATCAAAGGTATAGGGAATTTATTCTTTATAGTGGCATTGTTCAACTGCCTGTAATCAACACACATTCTCCAAGACCCATCCTTTTTCTTTACCAACACTATTGGAGAAGAAAAAGGACTAGAACTAGACCTGATGATGCCACAAGCCAGCATTTCAGCCACCAACCTTTCAATCTCACCCTTTTGGAAGGCCGGTTATCTATAAGGTCGCACGTTGATGGGTTCCGTCCCCTCCTTCAGAACAATTTTATGGTCATGGAGCCTTTTTGGTGGCAACCCCTTAGGTTCCTGAAACAAATCTTCATAATCATTCAGTAAGTATTCATGTTCTACTGGATTGCTCACCTGCTGATCCTCAGTGTCCGCAGAAATGGTACAGAGAGGTAAGGTGTCTGCTGTGGGGTCCTGCACTACTCTGATTAGGCATAGTTGCGCCTCAGCGATTTGCTCAGGTTTTTGAAGTATTTTCTGCATTTTTTTCTGCTTAACCAGCTGCAGCCCTTGTCGCTTCATTCCCCTTAAAACTACCTTATGGCCAGCTTGCATAAACTCCATCGTAAGCTCTCCAAAGTTCCATTTCACATCCCCAAGGGTAGTTAACCATTGTATGCCAAGAACGAGCTCACACCCACCCACTGGTAACATGAGTAGGTCAGCCTTGAATTCCTGTCCGTGCATTTTCCAAATGAAGTCCTTACAAAGGTCCTGCGTGGTCAACTTATTTCCATCTGCCACCTCTATCACTAGGGGATCAACCCTGTGTGTAGTTAAACCCAACCTCTGTACAACTTTAGGGTGAACGAAATTATGGGAGCTACCACAATCTATGAAAATGTTCACAGATTGTCGTCCCACATGACCCGTGAGTCGTGACCCTAGGGGTGGCAATCGGGTCGGGTTCGGGTTGGCGGGTCGGGTTGAGGCTTAAGTATAACAAAGAACCTGCTGACCCGAACCCGACCCGCCAACCCGAAACGGGTCAGGGTACCTGACACGAACCCGAAAATTTCGGGTTGGCGGGTTGGCGGGGTCGACCCGAAATGACCCGAAACTTAATTTTAATTTATTAATTTATCACTGTAATTTCTAATGAAATCAATTTTTCACAGAATTAATTACATCATCAAGTAATAAAAATTTAAATAAATAATTTCAAACCAAATCTAAAATAAATTAAACACCATAAAAGTGTTTTATCCCAAACCAAATATAAAATAAATTAAAACAGCATAAAAGTAAAAAATAACATAATATATTATTTGTCCAAATATAATAATTTTAACTTCACACGAGTTAAATAAATTCATTTAGGATTAAGTAATTAATGCCTTTGGAAAAAAAATGATTTAGTTTAGTTAGATAAAATAATTTTTATGTTTATTAAATTAGTTTTAATTCGTAAACGGGTCACATCGGGTCATATCAGGTCACCACGGGTTGACCCGAAATTGACCTGTTTTCTTTTCGGGTTCATCGGGTTCGACCCGATTCTGACCCAAACTCTCGAAACCTTAACCCAAACCCATTAATTTCGTGTTAGGTTCGTGTCGTGTTTTCGGGTCGTGTCAGGAATTGCCACCCCTACGTGACCCTCATAGTTTTAAAATTAGGAACACTCATGGTAGTCATGGCATTAAGAGAAATATGTGCCAGTTGACCTTCATCCAGTGCGTCTTCTTCTTCACTCCCTGACCCTTTCTCCTCCTCCTCTGGCATGTCATCCCAAACCTCCAACCTGTGGAATTGTTTATTACCACATCGGTGCCCAGCTATGAATCTTTCGTCACACCAAAAGCACAACCCCCTAGCTCTTTTCTCATCCATTTCTGCTTTACTCAACCTCCTGAAGGGTCTTTTGGCAATTAACTCTTTCTGCTTCTCATTACTAGGTAGGGCTGGAAAAGTAGGGAGAGGCAAGAGTGGCTTAGAATCTATCTTCCATTTGTAACCAGCTGAGTTTGTTTGGGTAGCTGCGAAAGTGCGGTTAGGATCTGGACAACTTGTGTAAGGTTTGGCTAACCCCCTCCCTTTCTGCTGCACAAACACCTTAGCTTCTTCAATTTTGGCCAGGGTTCTGGCATGCTGCACGTTCCTGGGCATGAACATTCTTACGGTCAGTTGGATCTCTGGTTTCAACCTACTCACAAAACAACTTGTGGCGTAGTCCTCGGGGAGATCCACCCTATTGAGAAGCTCCTCGAACAGGTCGTGGTACTCCTGTACTGACCCAGTTTGCTTCAAGCTCTTAAGCTCTCCCATGGGATCGTCATACAAGGAGTCTCCAAACCTGGAGGATAATTCCCTTACATACTCCTCCCAGGCCGGAATCTCTCGCGTAAGTCTGGATCTCATGAAGATTTGGTGCCACTGAAGAGCCTTCCCCTCCAAATTCATGGCAGCTACTTTGACCTTTACTGACCTTGGCGTCTCATCCACTTCAAAGAACTGCTCACACTTGTACAACCATCCTCTAAAATCCTCCCCATTGAATTTTGGAAAGTCAATCCGCGACAAGCGAGAGGGAACGTGGTAATTCCCTCTATTGCTGTTTGAAGAATCCGAATTATGAGGGGAGCCATTTCCTTCGGCCGGACCTTTCTGCGTGTGTAGTTCAACCACCAGGTTTCTTAGAGCTGCCATTTCTTTTTCGAACTGTTCCTGTTGTTCCTTCAGCATGGAGCGAACGTGCTCTTCCATCTTCCTGACGTCTTGAGACCTAGTGCCCTCTGCCATTGGTGACTTAGCTGGTTCAACCCAGCTCTGATACCACTGATGCAGAGGTCAGTGGAGGCCTGCAATCTGCGATCTAGAAGCTACAGAATTGGCGGAGAGGTAACTTCGAAGACCGACAGATGAAAGGAATTGTTATTATGTGAGTAACCGAGAGAATACAAGAAAGGAGAAATGTAAAGCTATTACAGAATGAATATCAAAAAGGCTGCCTTATTTCATAGCCTAGATTCCTATTTATAGCCATCTAAGTCGGTTGTCAGGCTAATGCTTAACCTGCTGACCTAGGCTGACATCACTAGATTCCCACTAACAAATTGGCTAACAAATCCCAGCTGTATGGCCATAACTAACGTGTGCATGGCCTGCATGGCCATAACTAACTTTAGCTAACAAACTTCAGCTGCATTTCCTTTGCTATATCCCGCGCAAATTATGGAATAACCAAACACATGCATCAGACACTGATTGAACTACCAAATACCCACAAAGGGAATAATTGATCTGCTTGCCAACTACTTTACTTATTTATTGAGGTCGATTCAATGGTTAGAGAATAGTTCTTAAAGTTTTTTTTGGCTGTCAAGGATAGAGTTTGAATCTTGTATTGACAGTTGGAGGTAAAAAATGTGTGGAGAGAGATGACAGGGTTAAAAAACATTTATTTCTTAAAATTAAGCAACAAATATCAGCAATTATCATGAAACACAAATAATTGGAGACTCCCTCACCATTGATAGCTTTCCTGAGTGTTTAAATGGGGTTGCTAAAGTAAGTTGGAATGCGTATTTATTGGTGCTAAAATTAATGGCTACTTATACCCACTATATATAGATGTATAGAAAATCGGTTTGTTGGAATTTAAAGGAAAGATAGATTTAATAAATGTGGCTTAGGTAGAAGATTTGTATAAGTGCATATTTTGAGGAGATAATTTGTAAATTTATTAGAGAACATTAAGGGCAATGTCTAATTGCATAATTGTATAAGTAAAAGTGTGCATAAATTTTGTGTCATTAACATTGTAAGGCATTTTACTCAAGCACTCACATACGTCGGCAACTCGTAAAACCCTTGACCGTGTAATCTAGTATTTTCTCCTTAATGATTTTTAAAAAAATAATAGCATTTACAATTGTCTAGTTTTTAAATTTGTGCCCATAATTTTTGTTAAAATGATTTCTTTCAACAATATGGCTTGATCATTTTCCTCGACCTAACTGCCCTTTTCTTTTTCCTCTTTACGTCCTTGTATGATCTTCCTTTTTCCCTCGCCCTATATATGTATTGAATCGAGTAAAGGATTTCAGACCTCCTCTAACGTGCTTGCACAACCCATAAAAGATTTGAGACTTGACGCTGAAAAAAAATTTAAGAATTTTATTATATTCGAAAAAAGGAGATTATCTCAATTTATTTTATGAATTTTGGATCATTAATGACCTGACATTATTCTTTTGTTAATTTAAAACGATCAATAGTAGTTCCCCACTTACCCCTCTTATTACTCGAACCCATAATCTTTCGATTACAAGTAAATGTCCTACCAACTAGGTTGAGCATTATTTTGGACCTAACATTATTTGGTAAGCCACTTGTGCATAGAGTTGCAAACGAATCGACCTGCTCGTATTCAGTTCGTTAGCTCACGAGCCGATTCGATTATGCGTATATATATATAATATAGTAAAAATATATATATTCCTAATATTTTATTATTTGTTAAGAAATTATTACTTTATTCATTTTTAAAAAATAAAATAATTATTTTTTATTTTTTTAAACTCGAGCTCGAACTTTACTTTGAAAGATCGTCGAGCTCGAGTTCAATAAAAACTAAGTTGAGACTCGATTTGATTCGTTTGCAGCCCTACTTGTGCAAAATGCACGTACCATTTAAGTGCATGGTATATTTTTAATCCATCCCTAGGTTGAAGTCAAGTTAGGCCTCATTTATCCAATCGTGTATCTCATGTAATGTGTCTTCTAAAATGTAATGACTTACAAATGATAGGGTCAACACAAACATATAATTATATAGTGAAACTCACATATTGTCAGATTTGAGTCCAGAACCAGCAAGTTTGAAATACTACAAATATACATGAAAACAATGCTGCTTTGCTATTTTGGAAAAGTTAGGAGATCGATTTGGTTACATGTGCAGTGCTTAGGAGCAAATGTTAGTCATTTGCATTGGACTCACTTTTTCACGCCCCAACTTTCACCAACTGCTTATCAATTTTATTCACCTAGAATTCTCCCACGAAACAAAATCTGCAATTTTCTTTTTTTATAAATTTGGTGTTTAAGTTCATTATCTTAAAATACACTAAAATTCGTTACTTTCTTTAAAGTTGAAATTAAGTAGTGCTATTTTTTAAAGATATATACGCATTATTTTTTTTTTGTTGCCACAAATT